TTTCTGCAGCTGCCATGACAGAGCCAGAGTCTTCTCGATCTAGACCAGAAGGGGCCTATGATGTCTTCTTGAGTTTTAGAGGAAAAGACAATCGCAAGACATTTACAGATCATCTATATACTGCCTTGGTCCAAGCAGGAATCCACACTTTTCGAGATGATGATGCACTTCCAAGAGGAGAAGAAATCTCGCATCATCTCCTCAGGGCAATTCGAGAATCAAAGATATCCATAGTTGTCTTCTCAAAAGGATATGCTTCTTCTAGATGGTGTCTCAATGAACTTGTAGAGATTCTGAAGTGCAAAAGGAAGAAAACCAGTCAGATTGTTCTTCCTATATTCTATGACATTGATCCTTCAGATGTGAGAAAACAGACTGGCAGTTTTGCAGAGGCGTTTGATAAGCATGAAGAGCGTTTTGAAGAGAAGTTGGTGAAGGAGTGGAGAAAAGCTCTTGAGGATGCCGGAAACCTATCCGGATGGAGTCTCAATGATATGGAAAATGGGTATTCCTTTTTTCTCTAAGATTCACTTGCACATGTTTATGGAGTAATTTTACATTACATTAATTTTTCAATGTGAAATAATAAAATATTTCTTTCTATGAGCAGGCATGAAGCAAAATTTATCAAAGAGATTATCAAGGATGTGTTGAATAAATTAGAACCCAAGTACTTCTATGTTCCTGAGCACCTAGTAGGCATGGATCGGCTTGCTCGCAATATTTATGACTTTCTAAGTACTGCAACAGATGATGTACGCATAGTGGGCATACATGGGATGCCAGGAATAGGAAAGACGACTATAGCAGAAGTTGTATTTAATCAACTCTGCAATGGATTCGAGGGAAGCAGTTTTCTTTCGGATGTCAATGAAAGTTCAAAACAAGTTTATGGTCTTGTTCCTTTACAAAAGCAACTTCTTCGCAATATTTTCAAACAAGATGTTGCAAACTTCGATTGTGTTGATAGAGGAAAGGTTCTGATCGAAGAGCGACTTCGTCGCAAAAGAGTTCTTGTTGTCGCTGATGATGTGGCTCATCCGGACCAGCTAAATGCATTGATGGGAGATCGAAGCTGGTTTGGTCCCGGAAGTAGAGTAATTATTACAACAAGAGATTCAAATCTTCTTCGTGAAGCAGATCAAACATATCGGATCGAAGAATTGGAACCAGATGAGGCCCTTCAGCTTTTCAGCTGGCATGCCTTTAAGGACACCAAGCCAGCAGAAGATTATATTGAGCTTTCGAAGAAAGCCGTTGATTTCTGTGGAGGACATCCTTTAGCTCTTAAGGTCATAGGAGCTCTTCTGTACAGGAAAAACAGAGGTAGATGGGAACATGAAATTGACAACTTGAGCAGAATTCCAAACCAAGATATTCAAGGAAAGCTTCTAGTAAGTTATCACGCACTTGATGGTGAACTACAAAGAGCATTCCTTGATATTGCATGCTTCTTTATTGGTATAGAGAAAGAATACGTCGCAAAAGTGCTAGGAGCCCGTTGCCGTTACAATCCAGAAGTTGTTTTGGAAACTCTCCGTGAAAGGTCTCTGATTAAAGTTAATGCCATTGGAAAGATAACCATGCATGATCTATTACGAGACATGGGAAGGGAGGTCGTCTGTAAAGCGTCTCCCTTGCATCTTGGAAAAAGGACCAGAATTTGGAATAAAGACGATGCATGGAATGTACTTGACCACCAGAAGGTAAGAGCTCAATGCATACACGAAAGCATAGTCATGCGTATTTTCTAGTCAAACTTATTACAAATAATTGTATTAAAGCTGTATTGTTTTTTTTTAGGGTACGGTAGTTGTAGAGGGTCTTGCACTGGATGTCAGAGCATCAGAAGCTAAATCACTTAGCGCAGGATCATTTGCAGAAATGAAATTCTTAAATTTACTCCAAATCAATGGAGTACATCTCACCGGATCCTTCAAACTGCTTTCTAAAGAGTTGATGTGGATTTGTTGGCATGAATGTCCTTTGAAATATTTTCCGTCTGATTTTACCTTGGACAATCTAGCTGTTCTTGATATGCAGTATAGCGACCTCAAAGAACTATGGAAGGGAAAAAAGGTGCGAAACATGCTACAATCCCCAAAATTTCTTCAGTATGTAATTTATATTTACATGTTACGACTTTCTATGATTAACTTTCATTATTTTGCTCTCTATTATGACAGATCCTCGACAAGCTAAAAATCCTTGATCTCAGTCATTCTCAGTACCTTATTAAAACACCAGACTTGCACAGTTCAAGTCTAGAGAAACTAATTCTGGAAGGTTGCTCGAGTTTAGTTGAGGTGCATCAATCAATTGAAAATTTGACGAGCCTCGTTTTCTTGAATCTGAAGGGATGTTGGAGGCTGAAGAATCTCCCTGAAAGCATTGGCAATCTAAAGTCTCTTGAAACTCTGAATATTTCTGGGTGTTCACAACTTGAGAAATTGCCAGAACGCATGGGCGATACGGAATCCTTAACTGAGCTGCTAGCCGATGGGATTGACAATGAGCAATTTCTCTCTTCAATTGGACAATTAAAGCATGTCAGAAGGTTATCATTGCGTGGATGCAGTTCGGCTCCACCAAGTTCTTCCTTGATTTCAGCAGGTGTTTCGAATTTGAAACGTTGGCTGCCAACATCTTTCATTGAATGGATATCAGTGAAACGTCTTGAGCTTTCTAATGGTGGTTTGTCTGATCGCGCAGCTAAGTGTGTTGATTTCAGTGGTTTGTCCTCTCTAGAAGTATTGGATCTATCAGGAAACAAATTCTCTAGCCTGCCTTTTAGGATTGGCTTCCTTCCCAAGCTAAGGTGGTTGCGTGTTCATGCATGCGAATATCTTGTATCAATCCCAGATCTTCCCTCAAGTTTATGCTATTTGGATGCATCTGATTGCAAATCATTGGAAAGAGTAAGAATACCAATCGAGTCAA